GCGCGCGGCGGGGGCGCGCAAGGAGGATGCTCGGGCGCGGCGCTGTGGGGGAGGGGTCCCGGCCCGGACTCTCACTCACCGCCTCGCTCTCCTCCCGGGCCAGGCGCCGCGCTCTGCCCCACTCCGGCGCCAGCCGCTCAGGTCTTTCCCGAGGCTCAGCCTCCAAGCCGGGGTCCGCGAGGCTGGAAAGAAGTCGGCGCGAGCGGAGGGCGTGCGGCAAGCGCTGCCGAGGAGTTGGGGAGGGCGGGACGGTCGCTCTCGCCTCAGCCAGGGCCGACACGGACACGGACACCGCCGGCTCCTCTCAGGCACGGAAGCTGCGGACCCGCCCACCACACCCGCCTCCCGCCTCCCGCACCGCCCGCCGGAGGAGTGACAGCAACACTAGCCAATCAGAGTCCTTGTCGAGGCAGGGTTGAGCTGACTGAGGGGGCGTTCGGAGAAGGTAGGGGACTCAGAGAGGCGAGAGCGGCGGCGCGACTTCCTGTGACTGACAGCACAATGTAGCCAATAGGCAGCGAGGTGATGACCTCATCGCCGAGAGAAGTCTGGAACTGGAGGAGCCGGGGTGAGGAGGTGGGAAGAAACCGGCGACGGGCGGAGGAGGGGCTCTTGCCCTTAAAGAGGCCGCCGCCCGTGGGTCACGGTGTCCAGGGAAGGGCGGCGGACTGGCTTGGCGGCAGTGTTCCAGAGGGGTCAGTGTCCATGCCAGCCCCTACCAATGTAATCCTCCAGAACCCACCCCGATCCTTCTCGGGCTGTAGGGGCGCCGGGGTCTGGGGGCTCCTAAGTCGATTACTTCACTTCCACGTGTCCCAAAGGAGACAATAAATTCCACTCTGGCTTGGAGCCCTGAATTCCCGTTACGCCCCCGCCCCCGAGGCCCGCCGCTTGTTTCTCTGAATCGGTTTCTGAAGGAGGGTGCTGACACCGACCGCCCCTCCCCGCCGCTCTCGAGTGCTGAGATCATCAGCGGCCAAAGTGCTCCGGGCTTGGAGAAGGAAAAAGGGCTGGGACGACCCAAGACCTGGTCTCTGCAGGCTCCTGGAAGGGCGCCTGCCACAGGACGACGGTACTAAATGTGTTAGGAAACACCGGCAATTCTAAAATACTGCCGGCTGTAATCCCAGCACTTGGGAGGCTGAGGCAGGAGGATCGACTCGAGTTTGCGTTGGAAGCCAGCCTGAGCTGCATAGTGAGTTCAACACCAGCTAACTACCGAGCGAGACTCTCAAAAAACCGAAATAAATAAATCTAAAATGCTGACGTGTAGTGAAGGGGGTGTGTGTGTGTGTGTGTGTGTGTGTGTGTGTGTATACGCGCGTGCGCGTGCGCGACAAAAGCCACACTCTTAGGAAGAATACAGAGTAAAGGGGAGAGAGAAACAAGGTTAGCGAGGCCCACTGTGATAAGACCTGCCCTGGGGCAGCGGCCCCTTCCCGCTCCGGTGCAGGTAAACTGTCCCCACCCTCGCCGGCAGCCGTGGGAGGCAGCCTCCAAAGAGAAGAGAAGAAAGGTTTCGCCCGAGGCTTCCTGGGGACGGTTCACCAGACGGGGGAGGAGGGAGGAGCAGCCTAGCAGGAGGAAGAGCGGGCTGGAGCGCTCTCCTGGTTTGGGGGACGGTGAAGGCTCCAGGGGGCGGGTGCTGCTCCAAAAGCACCAAAGCCAACGCGGCCCTGCGAGCTGCAATTCTGCATCGGAGACCCGCTTGGACTTCAGCACCGAGGGCTGGAGGCTGACTCTAAGCGGGGGCAGGCGGGACCCTGTGGCTGAGTCACCCTTTCCTCCAGGCAAAAAATTCTTCCATAGAAGCCCTGATAAATTATTTATTCAACAAATATTTTCTTGAGTAAGACGTGGAGTGGGTAAGACAGACAGATGAAGTCACCGCCCCCGGGGGTGCTTACACAAAGGGGGCGCCTGGGGCTGTCCCTACCCCAAGTGTCAGGACGACAGATGCAGAGGCCAGGCTGGTCTTGGAGGAGAAAGTATCGCGGGTGCAGTCGTTAGCGTGGGGCAGATGCGTCCAGGACAAGACCGGGGTGGGGCGTCTTGGATATCGTCCAGGGGACGCAGCCCTCAAGAAAAAGTGAAAGTGAGAAGAAAGTCCCAGCGTGTCCTGTTAGTCAGGGAGAGCAATATGCCCAGCTCGTTCACAGCAGGCTGCGGGGCCAGCGCCCTGCTTCACGTATCGCCCTGTATTTGTCGTTTTGAGGGAGCGGGTCGGGGGCAGTCAGACAACTTAAACTGTATCTATTTTATATACATCTGGGTGTTGTACATATGCAAAGCACTCCTGCAGATTTCTTATGGATATCCTGCCTCCCTCTCATCTCTGACCCCAGGCCCTCTAAATTGGTCTTTAAACCTTACAGAATGAGTCTAATCCCAGCTCATCCCTTTCCCACACTTCCCACCCCCAAGACAATAAAGTCCCCTCCTCCTGCCCCCAACAGTTTCCAGATGCCTCACTATCTTAATGACCTCATGTGGATATTCTTCAGTTTGTTAGGATCTACTAGAGACATGTGTTATTTTGGTCCTTCCAGAAAATATTCTCTTTCTTCTGATAAGGGGACCCTAGTTGCAGGGGGGCACTCTCCCTCACCCTCTATCCACATGGCTGAATTGGGAATTTCACCACTCACATTCCAGGGGTGAACTGAGTGGCCAGCCCTGACCAATCAAAGACTGCCCACTGACCAGCACCCTTTATATTGGTTGATTTAGGAAGGTCATGTGACTTATGGATATTCTGTCCAATCAAAATGAGCCCTGCAGGGGGGGGTACACACCTGTAATCACAGCATTTAGGAGGCTGAGGCAGGAGGATCGCTGCAAATTCGAGACCAGCCTGGGCTACAAAGTGAGCTCAAGGCCAGCCTGAACTGCATAGCAAGACCCTGTTTTAAAAAGACCAAAAAAAAGAAAAGAAACCAGACTGAACTGCACAGAGAGACACTGTCTCAAACAGACAAAAAAAAAAAAGAGTGCTGAGACTTTTGTTAGAATTACTCTGGTGAAGTGCTTTGCACAAGGCTCTCAACGTTCTGGTTTCTCCGTGGAGTGAATAGGGAGGACCACAGGGAGAATAAAGCAATACAAATAAATAAAAATAATCAGAGCCGAGATACAGTCAAAGGCCACCATCTACAACTCTGTTTGAGAGCCTGAGCCCCAGGAGGTTGCTATCCTAGCACCCTGGGAGGCTGAGGCAGAAGGATCTCAAGCTCCAGCTCAGCCTGAACAATTTAGTAACTTAATGAGACACTGTTTTTAAAAAGGGGAAGAGGGCAGAGACTGCTGTAGTTCAGTGCAAAGGCCCTGGTTCAGTCCCCAGTGGTGGTGGTGAGGAAGCTGGATCCAGGTATTTTCCAGCTATTTGATTCCTTTGGTGTGCTGGATGAGGGAGGACCCTCAAAACACAGACCCAACAGGCAGGACTTACTGCGGGAAGAGAAACTTGTAAGGGAAGAAATGGAGCAGGACAGGAGGAGGGGAGCTCCAAGGTCAGCCCAGCAAAGCCCAGTCTGCCCTTGTCCCGGCTCCCGGCAGAAGAGCTCCGCAATTGGAAGGCTTTGTGTCCCGCTATCTGCCTGCCCCTGGTCATGGGCCCTGTGGGGCCACAGCCCCCAAGGCGACCCCTCAGCTGAGGCCGCTCTGGAATCCCAGGCTCCGTGCCCGTGGGTGGGTGCCCCGGGCTCCGAGACTCCCAACCGCGCAGCTGGGTTTCTGTTGCTTACAACCAAAATGTGACTTCACAGGGGGCCCAGGCGTGGGCTGAGCGGCTCAGAACGCGGGATCAAGCACAGGGCCCAGTGCATGCTAGGCAAGTAAGCGCTCTACGACTGAGCGAAGCCCCCAGCCCCTATAATTGATACGGATATAGGACTTTAGGCCTAACTCTGCTGGTAACCAGCAGCTGGGTGTCCTTTCTCATTTGGTTTGAGTTTAGTTTAGTTTTGCTGAGAGATCTCGATATGTAGCCCAAGCTGGCCTCAAATCTGCGTTGACCTTCTTGCTTCAGCTTCCTGAGCGCTGGGATTACAGAGGTGCGCCACCACACCCAGTTCAGGCGTCATTTGTCCCTTTCGAGCCATCCCCGCAGCTTGCCAAAAACGCAGCGGGCCCCATCCTGCCGTTCACCCACGTGGGCTCCATGGCAAGTTTTGTTGCTACTGCAAAAGGGACAGTTGATGGCGGAGACCGTCAGGAGACCACAAGAAACTGATTCTGCCCCTTGCAGCTAGTAACCCAAATTCCTGGGACGTGAACACTCACCCAGCCTTTCCCTTTCTCTTCCTGGGGAATTTCCCAAAGGTATTTCCTTGAACCTGACCAGCCAGACCTCCGCACACCCGCTCCTTCCAGCTGCTTCTCAAGCATTTACCCGGGTTGGGCTGGATGCCATCGAATGCCTTCTGCTTATCTTCATCTTCTCAGTCTCAAGGCTTCTTCCACTTCCCTCAGGAAGCCCTTCAGTATACCTCCGGCATGTGTGGGTCCTTCTTTCTCCCACAATCTATAATTCCTACTGTGATCTGCTTATCAACATCCGGCTTCCTCTTTGTGACGTTTGCTATTGAGATACCCATCCTCCAGATGAGGAAACTGAGGCTTAGGTTCGTTAAATACCTTATCCAATATCTCTTTTTTTTCCCCATCCATAAATTACTTTTATTTCTCATTAAATGAGCAGAGTTACCCCATGTCTCATAGCTGAAAACTAGCAAATCAGGTACAGATACTAAAATTACAATTCTAGATGCAAGTCAATCAACACTTGTGGGCTAAATACAAGGAAGTGGAGGAGCTATTTTTTAAAAAGTGAAAGAGACCTGGGTGTGGTGGCGCATGGCTGTAATCCCAGCACTCAGGAGGCTGAGGCAGGAGGATCACCTCAAATTTGAGCCCAGCCTGAGCTACCTAATGAGTTCAAGTCCAACCTGAACTGCAGAGCAAGACCCAGTGAAATCAACATCCCTTTCCCATACCCAAGAGGAGCCTGGGAAGGCCCCAGGAAAGCCTTTGTGTGCCAGGCAGAGCCGAGAAGGGACACTGGGGGTCCTGGGGCACTGTGAGTAACAGGAAGGAAATGCGGGCTGGGCTGGAGCAAGGGAGTTGTCAGATATGGCTTGGATGCTTCGTGTGGCCGGCCAAGGCCAGGGAGGCTATGTGTTTTTGAAAAGAAGATGAGGGCTGGGGAT